TTTCGGCGTCTTTACATTTTTCTTTTCTAAATAGATTAGGGAGATTGTTTCACGAAAATTAATTCTATATTTGTTGCTTCACCGCTTTAATTGACATTTATCGATATTTAAAAAGAAAAACACTCGTTGCATAGGGAAACTCATATGACCAATATGATTTTCGCAATCTTCACTTAAAAAGGTGAATTTTAGGAAGAGATATATGAACGCATTTTCGTTCGCCTCGTTCCGATTTATTAATTAGTGCTAAGAAAGATTGTCCTTAGGTAGAACTATGTCAGCTTTCACCCTTTAAACGGCGCGTTCTACTTGAAAAGCGAAAATTAGATATATAAATACATTTTCAATTTTGATTCGGGGTTTTTCGATTAGTATTAATAAATACCTGCTTTTTCATTCCAAAGAATGTGTTACATTTTTATTCAGCTCGCCGAAATCTATCGATTGATATGAGGATTTGGCTTGAACAAATCTTACATTTTCATCTATATGTTGGTATTGTATATTGGTACGAAAAAAATCTCAAAGAATATTTTGGAAAAAACGCGGTATCAAGATGTTCGCTGTACCCCCCAAACTAATACTTAGTAGAAATTTGGTAAAAAAACAAAATTCAAAATTTCTTTAAAACAGATTTTCACACACATGGAACACACACAATTCTGCCACATACCATTTACAGTTTCACATCAAAGTAGCCGGTCTAACAATTGTTTTCTTATGCGGTATATCGACCGATGAGAAGACTCCGTCCCCTTTTACATAAAACACCACCTTAAATGTTTACTCTTCAAATGGAGTTTCTGACTTAAATTGAGATATGAGTGCAGAAATGTAGCATTTCGATTCGACAGCTTTCCACTGACGCCAAGAAATGCCTTTTACTTCCATATAAACATTTAACTACTAATTTATCGAAAGGAAGGTTTTTAAGAAAAACTGTAGGTGATATTAGCCCAAACAACTTTCCCGTAGACATGCATCGGATAGATGTGAAGCACAAAAAAAAACAATTACGACAATGGACCCTGTTCATGGATACCAGTAGGAAAAGGAATGTTCGATTCGCGTTGTGCCTAGCTAAAACCATAGTTTAGTTTCAAACCTATATCTTTATAGATATGAGGTATTATTGGCTAGCATTACATCCGTTACCTTGTTGGATCTATCCCGTTGCAGTAGTTCCTGCTCGTTTTCCTGCGGTTACCCTGCTCCCGTTCTCTTACTAGAATGTTCTAACGGTCCTGCAGCCACACTGTACTGAACTATTCAGCCTATTCTATTATTTGATTCATGTTGCGCCTAGCGCCGAAAATAAGCTATTGCTTTTCTGATACCTACTTATACAAACGTCCGATTGTAGCTTCCCTGAAACATATTAATCCTGTTACTCTTCGATCAGAGCGATAATATTTCTTTGATCTTGTCTGTTTGCTGTAAAAGGGAGTGATCCCCTTAATTTGGTGTAGTTATTCTGCTAGCCTCGTTCAACAGTAGTTCGTTAATTTGCTAAAATTATTGCTATCTCCTAGGAATCTCTTTGCTTCATTGCAATATACGTATCCTGTTGTTTAATGAAATAACTAGCTTGATTTCAAAACTGCTAACATAAAACCATACAACTGAATAACTTCTATGTGTAAAGTTAACTTTCAAACACCCGGGCCTGAGACCTTACATGACCTAGTCCCGTGCTCTTCTACCATTATTCCTGCTCCTCAACTGGATTACTGTTACATCCTTAATATTGTATTTATCCTGTTTTTTTATTCCAAACGGTCTTATCACCCGGAGAAAGCATTAACCCAATGGAAAAATTCGTGATTCGTACATGCCGGGATGATTCAGATTTTATCAACCATTTCGCAAATTAGGTAAATTATCGTCACATCCTTTATCGAAGAAAAAATGTCTCCCGGAAAAGTGTGCCTGTAAAATAAGCCGAGATGGTTCATCTATCATCAATTATAAACTATTTTGCCAAAAATCACCGATTTATCATTAGATCGTAAAAATGCTAAGTTCAATATTGCGCACAAGTTGTAAAGAGCAAGAAACAACTTCCCAATATAAAGCTTTCGCAAATTCTTTATAGTTGAAGACCAAACTGTCCGAAATGGTCAGTTTATTTGAAATACATATAGGATGAGAAAAGACTTCTTCGGTAGGCAGCATTTATCCAATTTGGGCCATCGTACGCGTAGCTCTTTTCAGGATGAAAGTTTAACGACCCACCAAAAATCAGGCCAGCTTGACTACTTCATGGGGTAGATTTTGGATGGAGCAATATAGAGTGATAGACTAGGACAATAGACAGACGTCGGCTAACGAAGAACTCTAGTAATACCGATACATGATTCGATATTTGCGACTTAGGAACTAAACATTAGATAAATATGTGATTCGGTAAGTACTCGAATAGAAGCGCGCAGCAATACATGCGACATTTATCTAGCTTTAAATTATGCTGAATAAATCCTTTATAAATAAAGATGAATAAAATATTAACTCCGGAAACACAAGCTTCTGTTTTGGTATCACCATACACCTAAACTGGAAAAACGGACGTTTTTTATCAACATACTAAATTGTATCGAAAATGTAGGCACATAATGAATAAAAGAGCAGAATTTCGGCTAGTTCGGCCTTCGGAGGTTGAAAAATCAAGTCTGAGGACTAGAAAATCTTCGTCGCTTAACTTGTTACTATTCAGTAGCTGTAATTAACTTCCAGCAATAAGTCATATCAGAAATCAAAAAGGCAGGTGTTCCCTTTCAAGTGTATACCTGCCGATTTAAGTAGTACGACGTGGAAGTTCTTTCCAAGCGTGATTCGTGAATATCTAAGGTAGAACTTAAAAGAAAGATTAAATTGTAAGGACTTCGAGTCGACACCAATTTAACAGAGATTCATCAATTTAGTATCGATTTTTTTTTTTTATTTTCGAGCGTTATGAGCCCCCTAAGCAGTACTTCTTAGGCTTGAACGCATGTAAAATGAGTGGTGTCCAACTTCCACTACTTCTTATTATTTTAAATGAACCCTTACATCAAGATGTTTATTACACCAAGACAACTTTAAAAAATACACTAGCCAGTACGATTATCTGCAGGTGTTGATATCGACAAAATGTTTTTATTTACAGCAAATATAGTGATTCCTCTATTTAGCGCACCTTTCTATTTGCATAAAAAAGTCACCATATAAATAAGTTTTTGTTTTTCAGCCCAGCTGATATTTTTCGCATTTGTTACAGCTGGGTGCTGTTGAGTGTGGGCATGGACCCACATTTCACAACTTGGTGTGAGGTGGAACAATATAGTGTCGTACGATCTACCGTAGAAGTGCCATCTTTGAATTACGTCAAATAACGCTTTTTGCTACGTGAATCAGTAGGACCAAGTGTATAGATAATCAGTTAAATAACCTGAAGTCTAGTTGTTCTTTTACTAAGTATCTCCGTTAATATATTCTGACGCAATTTCGCATATCGCGTTCATCAGCACCAAAGGTAGGCACGAATTCGGCTACGCGACGCGACTATATTGATCTTCCGTATATGCTACGCACCACTGAACATCTTCGTGTAAAAATCGCATATACTTTCATATTACGCACAACGATATTCTAACTAACGGGCCATATTATTGTCGTTGAAATTCTTTTTCTCAACAGCCTCTGGGTTTGCCATCGCACCCATAACCCAACAACAAGTCCTCTGGTTTAATAGATAATGTCTAAATATTATATGCAGTACTAAAGTCCCGTATCATTCACCAACAGAAATGCCAAGTAAAAACAACTGTTTATAATTCTGAGTGTGTCATCGTATATATATATGTATATAGCCGTATAGTCCGGATCTGTAATCCTAAACAGCACCCGTTTTAAGAACGAAGATGATGTTATTCATATACATATATATAAAGAGAGAGTTGATATATACACGCAGGACAGTGCACAAAGCAAACACAAGGCACTCCTGATCTATGGCTACGTCGGCCTTGTAGTTGTATATAATTTTTAGTCTCGAATCGGTCTTAGCAAGAATCAATTATTCTGTTCGACGGCTACAACGTAGAACGCGAAATGGGTGCTCCCAAGTGAGATCCGCCAGAGGTTTTACGGTAGAAGCAATTGATAAAACACCATTCTACTAGTTTTACTATATCTTAAATCCCGTCAGCATCTTGATTCAAGCCGTTCAGCACAAAGCAAGACAGATAACCATGTTTGAACATTTTTTTTTTTAGAATAAGCTGTTTAGTATATGTACGGACCACGCGATATGCAAGTGAAAACCCAAAAAATCCCTTATTGTAGTATGATATATCGGCCTTATTCAAAATTTTCCTTCAGTTCTACGAATATGATATCTATTATTTCCTACGCTATTGACAACTATTATTTACATAGTTCTACTGTTAATAAACTGAAAAGCGCGGAAAAATATTTTCAAACATACATATATTTGCAAATACTTGCTTCCTTATTAAAAACTTTTACAGTCTCGAGTAGGCATTGTAGACTTGAACAATGACCAACATTTTTCGTTACCTCAAACAGTCACGTACCACAAACATTTACACCTGTCATACATGTGAAGTACTATCTCATTTTTCGTTCATACTTTTAGTCCTTTCTGCTTGTAGACTCACATCGGCAGAAAATACGCATCAGAAGCAGAATTGTACAAAGTACAGCCCAATTATTCTCTAATCGGGGTCGACACATTCAGATAGTTTATTTTTTAAATCATCCCTATAAAATTTGACAGCAGGTAGAGTGACTGCATTAGCTTGGTTTGCAATACCGGTCAGGTTTTTGAAGGGAATAGTCTGGATCGGACTGACGCCAACTGGAGTGGTTACGGTAGAGCTGTCATTCGCAATGCGTGGTTTCCTCTCATAAGAAGAACTCCCGTTATTTGTCATCGATGCTGTTATACCAGTCTGATCGGTATCATTTTAGCAGGTCCTTCAATGACGATTATCGTTGGGCTGCAATAATTTCCCTAGACACTGGTGCCCCCACTCTTGGGCGTAAGCAGGAGTTTACGTGTCAGGGTAAACGTCATGCAAGGTACCTAAGAGCATCCAACATGAACATAGTATTAGTTAGTACGATCTAGGTAACAATCGAGATTGTTATAGCTAAGCTTGCGTATATTAGTCTCTCAATGGCTAAAATATCACACAGTGTCCCCGCGAACTCCCCAGTGAGGACCATTTTGAATCTTCTACGTGAAACGTGTAACGCTATTCATGCTGAATTATGAACTGCTACTATTTTAAAATTATTTTGAAAATGTTACTATTTTCCTAACCGCGGTGACATAAAACGTGCTCAAAAGCTGTACCTTGAAACATTCCATGATGGCCTGAAATCTACTTTCCCTTTCGTGACTATAAAGCCTGTTCCATGGCTAACAGCTCCATTCTTAGTCATAGGTAATAAACGAAGACATTCTACCGTAGCGAATAATGGAACTTTTGCCTAGCGTTATTTGAATGATACAAAATAAATGAGAAACCCTTAAATTTATTCAATTATTCTTAGATTTTTGCCGTAGCAAATAGCTTTCTAGTGATTTCATTTCAAATATGAAAAATCAAGCATGCTGAATTCAGAAGCTTCACTATTTAGCTTATTGATACTAGCTGATCTTGATCAACTGAAGAACAGCGAAGTGGGTACTAAAAGGAAAAAAAAAAAAGATCTTTCTCCAACCGCATACGATCCCACTCACTCATAAAGGCCATGGTTTCTGTACGACTCATTTGCAATCTTGAAACATGCAAATAAATACATTACTAAGTAAAGTAGACCCCGTTTAACCTCCTTTTTAAAAGATGAATGAGCCGTGTATTTCAAATTTATTTATTTGTGCTAATTCAAAATGTCTATCTTAAAATAATCCCCGTTCAATAAGACTTATGCCACCACTTTTTCCAATCCTCAAAACATTTTTCGAATCCAATCGTCAAAATAACCCGCAGCTCAGTTAGCGATTTTCCTCTATTTCCTCTATAGTATCGCAACTTCAAACTTCTTTTTCAAAAGGAAAATTTGAATGGGGTTAAAATAACCCATACATAAAGTTTTCTTAAAATTGCTATGGGCTAGGATGGAGGACCCAAAACTTGCCGTGCTGCAGTGTTGGTAACTTGCACCAGAGATACTCGCGTAATATTTTTAAAACTCTCAGATAGTACTGCTTGGTAATTGTCGAGCCGGGAGCATAAACTTATGATGAATGACTCCCCGATGGTTAAAGGAAATTGTAAAAGGCACCTTGATTTTAGACCTGGACTGTGCGACTTGCTTCTGTTGAGGCTCGTTTTTGAGCCTATTATCGGAAAATTGGGCCTTGGCCTCCTCGTCGTAGCCATACACCCACGTCTGATCGCAGATTTGGCTCTTCGAAAGCGTCAGAAGGTTTTCCTAACAGAGTTCTTCACGAGTGGCCTTCTGCTGGATATTCAGCTGTTTCAGCACATTTTTCCGTAAGCCTTCTGACGCCTAAATGGTCGGTCAAAATGGCTTAACATTAGCTATTTGAAATTTCTATATATTCTGCTCGCTTTTCTGATGATTCGGCCACACAAGTGCGAGTTGTTTCATTCTCTGTTTTAAATCGCTCGTGACTATTGTCACAGGTTTTTCAGAGTGAAAATGGTTCGCGCAAATTATCTGTATGATTGATTTTATTTGCCTCACTAAGTATACTTCACTCATTGCTCTAATTGAGTAACATCGCAGAACTTCCAATGCATAGCCTTATTCAATAGTACCAAGAGACTCGATATTCCGTCATATTGTCATGGAATTTCAGCTGTATACGGTAGAGACCCTATAATTTTTGCCAAAAGGAATGTGGCTTATAAGCGATCATTCAATAGCGTCAAAATTTGAACGACTGATTAATTTTTGAACAAAGGGCTATATTAACAGAAAAAAAGGTCACGTCTAGGACTGACCACGTAACGTACGAGAGCATGGTGACACAAGTTATATGATTCTTGTCTTAGTACCTTTCTAACGAAGAATATACGTGATATCAAAACCTTAGCCAGATCCTTCCAAAAAAAGCGGCGGACATTATCAAAATATAGCGTTCCTAATAAAATGCTTACCTGTTTCCTCTGGTCCATATCTGTGTTGCCAGGCACAGAAGATTCAAAGTTAAGTGCGACGTTCTTATTAACAAGAGTCATCAATGATAGAATGTCGTGCTCTCTAAGGAGATCCTTCCGTTTTAGGACATCACAAAGCGCCTGAACGAACCAAGAACCTGTAATATCACCGAAAATAATGTCATAAGAGCAGAATAATTAGGATTAGCTTTTTCATGTAGACCTGTGAAGAAACGGTATTCGGTGCTATGTAGCATCACATTCGTAAAAAACCGTACATATGTAAACACGATTCGGATGGATAAAGTCTGCCCCATATATCCACCATTCTGCCCCCATGATGGCATGGTGAGTTTATTTATGGACACGTAATGGTCTATGTTCAAATCCAGGCTTAAATACACTTCGTTTCGTACTGGGAGCTAGCCGTTGAAAGGAATACGAAACAACTTAAGTATCAAATATAAGACACCAAACCATTTAGATATACGCCACCAATCTCGGAATTTGTGAGGACAGGGGGACCCGACTCAGTCAGTTACCAGGAGATGGATGATCATATTCTTATGGGCAAATGGAGTCCCGAATAGTACTAGGTTAGTCAAATTAAGGGTCATAATGCCTAAGGCTTGAAATATTATTTAGGCTGAGTCAAAGACACGAATTTTTAGATTACTTTTTAAGCAACTACTATTGTGCAAATCGTTTATTTACGAAAGAATAATCAGCCTGAGTGTGTAATTTGACGAGATCCCATTGTCAGTATAATACATAGTAAGCGACTTAATGACGGATCGTTGAAGCTCTATTCCCTCAAAAAATCTAGCAAATCCATTGGTAGCATTGGTAAGCCTATAGCTATCACCAGCGCGGTCTAAAAAACATGCGTGCATGCACGTATGAAGCAGTGGCAACAACAGACAATGCGCACTCACATCCATGCAGTAGTAGAGACAGGGAACAAACTGGAAATAAGAGGTGACCATATAAAGATCGAATACTGAAATGACTAGAATGAGGAAACGAATAATAAATAACTAAACATAATTGTAAATAAACTATTGCTTCTGATAAGCTTTTAACTTTTCAACGATATTATTACTATGATCGCGTCGATAAATGTGATAAGCTTTTGGAAACGTTTACATGTACTTATGTACGTTTTATTAACACGTACTTATGAGTCGCCTATCCTTATATTTATCTGTTGTTGTTTAATGAACACATGGCTGTTTAAAATGCCTACCATGGCATGTATTCCTCCAGGAATAGTATCCTGCAACAGTCGAATAACAGATGAGGAAATCCGCATGAGCTGGAAGACGGTATACATCACCACCGGTCGAATCGGTTTGATCGGTAGCCAGAGCCCCTTTATCCAGCCAGTCTCCCCTACAGGCCTGAATAAAAAATAGCTTTGGTTTTCCTACAAGTGTAGCGCATTGGTCACCGGCAAACGGGGCAAATAAGTGGTCAGTTGGCATTTTGCCCTCAGTGTGATATACTAAGTCGCGTTCTCCGTGTGACAAAAGACAGAAAACAAATGCATCACAGTCGGAATGGTCATAATCTTGCCAGTACTTTAGTACTTTGTGCAATTCCTTCTCTTTGAGATTGTCGTGTCGGTGGACTTCAAATGATAATCCCTGTAACATGCAATTTGTTTATTAATTAGGTGCTTATAATGAGTAGCATGAACATCGGTAAAAGGTATAATATTAATTAATAGTAATAATAAGTCCATAAATTATCTGTATGTTCTTCTAGGATGAAATAGTCCTCATGATAGTACATTAAACATTTTGAATTTTGTTTCAGCGGAAACATTTAAAGGTTGAGTCAAAAAAATCTGAAATTTAAGCGTTCGAAATCCTCAAGATGTTGAAGTATCATCATCAGGCGGTAGCAATACATGTTATGCCGAAATCAATAGATCGACTTTAACAGATAATATAAAACAGGCGTATAAAATACGACATGATACGCTAAAGCAAAGATCTAAATGTCTACCTATGAAATAAATATTTAGGTTATGAGCTCAAGTCACAAAGCAAGAATACCCACGTCATGATCGTAACAATTCAATCTAACCAGCCATAATAAAAGTAAAAGCCAATGCTTATCATTTAAATACTACAGTTTTTTACCTCAAAGGTTTGGAACAAATGATCAGCGTCCACGTCCGTTCCGCGGCGTTCGTTGAGCCCGGTGTGAGCCGAAAACGTTTTCTGGTTTACAATCACGCACACGCCTCGTTTGGTATGCCCCATATAATAAGTATCATCAGCGACTTTGGTAAGAATACGACTTACCTTTTCACTGTGACGCCTACATATAGATCAAAAACCGAAATTAGATGAAGAATTCACCCGCAATATATTGTCAACGTAATTATCATACTAAAAACACAAGCAAAATCTGGGTAGAGGGTAAATACAAATATATTTCTGTGGTAAAGGCAATACATTCTACTTTAGGGCTCGCGTGTGTCCTTTATCCATTGTCAAATTCCGCCGGTCATTATTGCATTTATTACTATTCATTACCTTTACGTCAACGACCAACCTCATGAGACAAATCACTCTAGTTCTAAAATAGTAAAAAAACGGCGCATTTACACACGCGACACATGCGTACACAATAGCTTATAGGGCTAGAAAATGCACGCAAAACAATCATTCACTGCTAAGCTAGATCTATGTGATAAACAGTTAAGACTATTTTTGTAGAGCACTAAGCAGGCACTTAAAGTGATCCAAAAACGCATCCTTACTTCTTTGTACACAAAGTAACTATTTGAATATCTTTTTGTTCAAAATAAGGTGCCGTAATAGCGACCTTTTATGTTCATTCTTTTATCTGGGTTTCAACAGTACGCTTTCCAGAAGATTCTGTAGTAAAAAAAACGTCCTGAGGGAATAGCGTGCACTGCAGCTACCAGAACCAAGATCTGGAGCTAGTAATAGTAATTTTTCTTAAATATTGAAATCAAAATCTGAGCAACTATGACACATTACATGACTTACGCTTTTGAAACAAGGCTTTTTGTTTAACAGACAACACTATTCTGAGTATAGAACTGCTAGAATGAAGACGCAAATGTTTCAAGGTAGGCCATTCAAGGCTGCCTCGGCAAAGCAAAAACCCTATTGCAAGGCGTATTCGATTACGGCGTGTGTTGCACAACTTTGAACCCCTTGATGCCCCTGATTGCCTTGGTCGCTATTGTACAACCTTCAAAGGGGCACCATATGAAAGGTTAAAAAAAACACAGAAAATTACTCATTTTGCCTTATAATTTATTCAGCAAGCAGACTATTGGAAATGTAGCCCCTCAGTCTCAATCATCGGTCTCTAATTGCGCTTTCCAATAATCGTTTGATTTATGCTCGTCAAGTCTTCGTGAATTAAAGGTACAAATAAATACATCTAGACGATACCTAGTGGTATTTGATAGAGTGGCATCCAGAAATCATTTTAATAAAGCAGCGACGTGCATTTAATTTTCCAGTTATATTCTATATTCGGTTTATTTCTTCCTACCGGCAACCCTTCTTTAGGGTTACCAAAGAAGTCACCTAAAGCATAACAGGTAGTATTGAGCTTCAATGTATCATATTCAACTGGAACAGGCGTACTTTCTCGCATGTTACTAACTTATACGGAAATCTACTACATTAGGCAGTAATTCTCTTCGGTGGCTTCTGAAAACATATTCAGAATAAATTGGGCCGAAGTTGACCGGCCGCTCTTAACCAGTAGACCAAATCCCCCAGTCTTTGTTGGAATAAAACTACTAGATTGAACCGAGTACAGACCGGAGGTTGATCTTTAAAATATAGGGAAGTGTCCTCTTCTGCTTAACATCCTTGCGCCACTCTAAGACCTTGGTTTTTTGAAATCGGGTAGACGGCTACTAGGAAGACAGAAATAGTTTCCTATGCACGTAAGTGTTTCGCGTTGTTTGTCAAGTATTTCAATTCAGAAGACTGCCTTTCAAAGCGAGGTAAGGTGAGCTTACGCCCAATTGACAAAGACATCTAACCGGCTGGCTTACAATAAGAAACGTGCTGTAAGGACATCATAACAAATGTATTATATATTTGTTATAACGATGAAAAATTGTATTTTTGACAATTCTAGAGTTTCCATGTACTTTTTTGGTTCAGTGTAATATTAGAAAGGCCTCAAATATAAGTACCATGCAACCGATTTTAGGAACAACTTGCCGATGATCCTAAAGGTCTCTCAAATTTCCGGTTACGGTCTTATATTTTAAACAAACATAACATCTACATGCTTCCTACAGAAAGGTGTACCCGTTACCACAAAAGTTCAGAGACATACTCTAAGAACTGTGGTGGCTACATGATCAAATGGTAGAGTTATATCTTCCAGCGCATTCGGTTTAGCGAGAAAATGAATACATGACTAGAATAATAAGAAATTCGTAGGACATTAACTTACAACAATTTTAATTCATATTTGTTGAACTACTATTTACAAGGTGTAATCGAAGGACAACACTGATTAGTTCACTTTTGTTGTTGAGTACGCGTTTAATGATATAAATACAGATATTTGACAAGGGCATTTCGTGATCAAGGCGACTGACAGCTGCATGAAATACGACCGTCAGGAACGTCTTTGTGTAAACACACAAAATAAGTTACGCAACATCTGGTTTCACTAGGGAAGCTGGCAAAAATCTTGTCTTAATTTATCCTCTATTTACCCGATATGCATATACTGTGTCTTCGCAAAATTTAGAGCACAATGCATAAAGTTTGATAGGGACCGTCTCCCCCAACCTACTACGAAACGGATACTGGTGTGCATTACGAATTAGCATATGGCCCAGTTAGGGCCTTTTAGTCCATGTCGAGGGCGGGGGACTTCGAGAAACTAGAATTTAACAGACCCAGAAAGTGAATCGACAAAATAGAAAATCGTACAAGTCAACAAGTGGTCTGCGGACCAAAACGTCAAGCGAGTTATCAGATACCTCTAGGAGCCCGTGTCAGTCGACGATAAACTGGTTAACAGTTTCCCATTGGGTTGAGAAGAAGAAGACGACCGCACGGTGGGGTGAACCGTTGAACAGACAAACATGTGCCAAGGCAGATGGCTATACACAGTCAGCCGTCAGCCGCCGCGTTACAGACGTTTGTCCTGTCAAGTCAGAGGCCAGAAACCGGTGCATCATGGAAGAGGTACAACAAACGCCGGATAGGGTTGCAAAAAGACATCCTGGCTAAGCTTCGCTCTCGTAACGAAGAATGACGCATTTGACTAGTTTGGCATCGATTATTGAATGTTGAACGCAGTCACAACGACGGACTTGTTCCTTCTGCCTGGAATTGATGATGCCCTCAACGCATCAAGCGGATTTCAGATCTTGTTTATCCTGGATTTGATTACTATATTGTGGCAGACTCTTATGGCGCCTGCCGATAAAAAGAAAAGGGTGTCTTACAGCAGGGATAGCTTGCACTTGCTAAATGATGCCGTTTGGACAGACCAATGTCTTTGTCACGATCCGACAACTGAAAAATTTTATTCTCGTCAAACTAAAGAATGAAATGGCATCAGTTTACTTAAATCATATGCTATCTTTCTCTGAAAAACCTAAAGGAAATATTATGGCAAGCGCTGGCCGCCATCATCTTTGGCATTAAATTGTTTGAATCTACCACCGGAACAGCCCTCGCCGAGTACCACTTATAACTGTTCTGCAGCAGGGAGACACGCAGTTAGGTGATAAGAAAAAAAGCCCACCCTGCTATTCCGGTCTAGGATGACTATTGCCTGTTTAGCCTGTCGTCAACACAATCCAAGAGTTTCTAACCCGTGCGCATGTTGAAAGCGTCATGCTTTGCCGGGCGAGAAGGTTAGGTAATCAATATAGGATCTTTGGTAGGTCTCTAGATTCAATATTGGTATAGACCCAGTTCGTCTTGCACTAAGAATCAACAATTTAAAGCGATACTTAGTATCGGACGTACTCGAAACGTTCATTTAGTTGGGCAGTAATTATACAGCTCATTTGCAAGACGACGAAACCAAGCAACAAGCAATACTTTTATCAAACGACAGTCGCTCCCTCGACAGGCCCAATCTGCAACCTCGGTCTAGACTCGAATCCGTTCTGAGCTTGGGTCGGCCCTATGTATAACCTGGAAAATGTATACCACTGTACCCGCCTCGGACATTTTTCCAGTCTTGTCACATTGACCGAGTGGGCAATGCGGGACGCCTGCAGGCACTTGGTAACATCGCGACGAGGTCGTGCGAGCCGTTATTACGGACAGCGGTATATAGTTCTGTGGCTGGTCTTTCCAAGACTATTTGGAACAACACTAACTGCCGTTTCGCAGCTGCTATCTGGAATCCCTAGTCTATCAGACTAGCAAAACAAATGATTCGAAACATCATCAATCGATTTTCTGCGATATTGTTGAAGTATTCAGGTTCAGTTCTCGCTGGACTGTTGCGTACAACAGTGAAAACCGTGAAATGAGATTTCCTAGGAATTACTTCTTGGACTCAAAACGTTGTCGGCTGGTGAGTACCCAGGATTGCGTAGCGAGGCTTGCGCACGTTTACGGAGTACTTCCACTGGCTATTCGTCAATCAACTATTCAGCCGTTTTCCAGCAGGTGGCATTTAGAAGACATGCGAGTGCGGATATCCATGGTCTTGTGTCGAATCGTTGCGCCACATCTTGCTAATATCTTATTATGAAAGTTGGCATATATAGCGAATAATAGCTAACACATAGAGCAGCATGCAACACATAGGTAAAATAGGCACTAGAGAAATGCAAGCGATAACCACTATTTTATAGATATAGCATTCACATTCACAAACGTAGGACATCTAACAGGGAAAATCATGTACTAACAGGTAGCGACACATAAGAAAGTTCATCTAAAGTGATCAAGTCTAGATACTAATGACGTTTTTCATAAGTATGGAGGATACTGAAAACATTTAATATATTTCTAATAATATTATTGCCAAATAAGCTATTTGACAAACTAAGTAGACATTAGGGTCATATCTTACGAGGATCATGCTAACTTACATAAAATCAAATAACGACACACAGAAATGAATGGAGCCGTAATCGAACTGAACTTGAAATATAATTCAAAGAGAATTTGAATCTTCAGTGTCGCTATCAGACGTGCCATGATTATCCGTTAATAAAGTGTAAACGATCTGGTTAATTGTCCCGGGACAAACGAACACTACTAATATTTGCACAGGGAAGAAGCTTCATGGAGTTTTGTTAAAAATGAACTGTGGGAAACAAAATGTGAAACATTCAGGCTACGTTTAGAAGAAAATTGATGCAGTCTGCGTGCTGCAACAAACGCCGCGTTTTCGGCACTTGTGCCTCAGACAACAGCAAGGTAACTTGAACATACGCGGCTGCCTTAAACAGTAAGGTCACCTCCTCCTTCGCCTTGACCAGGGTATCCAACGATGCCGACGAGCTGAAATCGACGTGTGTGTCACGTAGCAGTCGCAGCGATCAACCAGCGTGATGAAGGACAACAATATACCCGAGCAAAAAACAAGAAGAGTTCAATCACACTAGTGTCACTGATGCATGTTAGAAAACAGTAAAAGGTACGACACGAATAGGTTAGAATAAGCTGTAAGCCTGAGCGTAAAACATGCCCTGTTTCTCACCTAGCACTCCGATCACAGCAAGCTTGCTCCCTACCCAAATGTCGCTGACTGTGAAATACTCAACTGTTGAGTTTGTTTAGTATACTACAACTACACGCACGGTCTGCCGGCTCTGCTTAATTTCCACTATTTAAATCAAAGCTTCTATGCATATTGATATCCTGTGCTGATTAACTGCTCCAATTGGGCTTAGTCAACTTGAAAAAGAAATAATTAAAATGTACCATCGTCCAGACACGGCGCTAGATACAAATCTAGGCCTTCGCCAAGTTTTAAGCTTGTGTTTTGATATTTATGAATTGATAACTTTATCCTTTGTGTCCAACGAAGGTCGTCAAAAAGTTGCACATCCAAAAATAGGTTCATACTTCTATTGGTCCCTACAGCTGTACTTGCAGCGAGTCACTCAATGAGATTTTCGAAATTCTATCCAACTATCGTCTTTTTGTCGAACAGTTTTTTTTTTTCTCCATAAATCACTGAGCATGATATGAATTCTCTTTGTCAGTTTGAATCTTAAGACCACAAATTATTTACTACAGATAGGTTTTGTTTTATACAAAACGTGTCTGTTGACGTGAAAGGCACAATGTGGAACCACTCGTGTTTTTTTTTCTTGGAAGGAGGTAAGTCTTCGATAACTCGAACAAAGGTGGATCCAAGCACAACTTAACGGTATAAAAATCATCACATTCTATAACGATTTTTAAAGATGTGCTTGAAGCTTCAATGAGCAATGTTTGATGCGCTACGTTTATGAGTAAGAGACTATAAACAAATAATAATCTAAACCAATCGGAAGTGTGCTCGGTCGAAACAAATCACGTGCAAAGGCATCACATCGTTGACGCTGAGCTAGATTTGTCGGCAAAAATGATAGCGAAGCTTTCGCAAAAGGTGCCTGTTGGTAAATAAGTTCATCTCATAGAACCAACTATTGTTAACAAAGGCTATTATTATTCGAACGTTTCTGTGGTAAACGATGTTGACACTCAAACCCACAGGGTCGGCTGACACTCTATGGATCCACAATCATCAACGTGAGACACGATGTCACTCAAATCAGGAAGCCTTACGACAGTCATACCACTATCGCAAAGATGATATATCATGGAACCTTTAGACATAATGCTTCTAAAATGGTCATACGTAGTTGCAAAGCTGTTCTACTAACCGAAAGCCAAACGAGGTGCCAAATTTTATGGCATCATTTCTGTCTGCTGCCTGTCCCTCCATAGAAGAAGCAATAGCACGTATAGCTTGTCCATTGTTCGGAATCTGTGACTCGTTTGATACGCCTGATATATCAGAGTCGCCTGTAAGATGGAAATCAACCAAACAATAGATAACCGTACTTACGTTTAAATACTTTTTTTTTTTCTTTCTCGTTTTTCAAGTAAATTGGAACCTTTAGAGTAGCTTGTACAAATCAACGCAGTTAAATATATTTATTGTACGCTACCTACGACTTATAACTATCGATCTTTGATTACAGATGAAATACGTAGACAATGAACTATACCCTGGAAAATACCTTCCAGCTTGTTGTTGTTGTTGTTGTTGTTGATATCCATTGGGAAAAGCCAGCACTTAATCTCTTGTTTCAGTTCACCCTGTCAGAAAGCATGTTGCCCTTTTGATATTTCTTGATTTGTTGAAACATTACATTAGCAAACGAAAACTATCTTACTGATGAAGGCAAAATTGCAGATTTACCGTCAGTAGTAGTAGTATTGAGGAAGCTACGTCTTGCTAATATCAAAAACGTTCAAGGGCAAAAACAGAATGCTAGAAACTTATTTCAGGTTATTCTTTCAGAAATTTCAGGTTAGTCTACGATAATCTAATGCATCGACGTCGCTAACCACATTAGTAGAAATTTCACATATACTACTACTACTACTAAATAAACTGTATTTGATAGAAAACTTTTTCATCGAATGGCTTCTGTTAAGCTCATAACTAGCAAGGGTACTTTATATGAGTTCGATGCTGGCAGCAAAGTTATGTGTGTGAATGAAGTCTCAAAATAATTTACCGGAAGCGTGATGTTTTCGCAACGGCATGATGTACCGTTTTAAAGTTTAGGCTTTTTGTATTCTAGGATAGTATAAGTCACGTTACTACATTGAAGAATGATAGGGTAATGATTTTTGGTTCTCTTCTTTGTGTGTTGTTATAACGAGATTTGGGTTCCTTAGGAAAGTATCGTCTGCTTGAGTTAGCAACATCAGGATGGCAGCCTGATTTCCTCATACTTAATAGAATGTTTCATCTTAGTTGTAAGGGTGCGCCCATTCCATTCATGCAACGCTAAACGAATAATAATAATTATTACTATCATAGTACTGTAGTAGTATTATACTATCATAGTGTTCATTATTATTAATGTTTGAAGTTATTTAAGTGTCAACATATGCATGATAAATTTGTGTCTAGACCGTTGTTCTAGTCCATTTTCCTTCTGAAAACACACATATTCTACATTTGCAACGCCGTTTCCTACTATTTTTGAATATTTTTTACAAACGAAAAAAAATCAGAGACCTATTACAGACAGAACACGCTACATATACATAAAAGCAGCCCATTTTGAAAACTTGTTTCTTACAATATTCGCGCCAAAGGAGTTTAAACATTTAAGCTTTTCCTACCCTAGCAAACTGAGAGATCGATTCGACAGGTTGATGCGCATGCGCCAACTTTTAACGGAAAGTGCAAACACAACAGACGGCAATCAAACTAGGTTCCCGCACGAAACCATCGAAACAGCTCCCATCATAAACACTTTGGCTCAGAAGGTAGAATTAGTTATCACTCACCTAGCTTAATGTTTATAGGAATAGTCTAAAAGCCCCAAACGAATGTCTCCACGGATGCTTAACCAAATAAACTTAATTGTAATTGTTTAATAAAAATGATACGAAATGTTCAGGTTATTAGAGCTATTTTTCTTATCTATAATGCTAAATGTAGTGGGAATTTTTGTGCCATCGTGTGCCGTGCGGAAAGCGCTCTTTCTTTCTCGCACAGGCCCGGCCAAAGAGATGTCTAAATGACCCAAATGTCCCACATTAGACCTGTCATAAACAAAAACATTTGTGCTGCTCTCGATGCCCATGAAAACGCACGACTCAGCGCTCGCTTTTGCCGTTTACCGTTATGAAACGCTGCATCTACAGAGCTCTCAATAGCAGCACGATACTATTTGATTGAACTTTGTCATTTGGCAAGAAGCGCACTGGGCAATAGGCTCTCAGTGCTATACCACGTCGCCCCGACCACCATTACCACCACTTCTTGGATTATGTTTTGTATCAGCGTCACCACACAGAGCGTCAACGGTAATGCAAGTGTAGATACTCCACGAACCAAACTAAGCAATAGGCCGCCAAGTTGTCACTGAATGACTGGCAAGACAAGGACATCAATATCGCGGTAGTTGCGCCAACAAGAATCTCTTACTGAATACCGCGTCCGTGCCTCATTTATCCTATTAGCATTGAAAACTTTAATTCTCTGTACAAAGAAAGTGTCTAAAGGACTACTGAAGTGTGTGCTGTGTATAAAGATGATGCGTAGAGCCATATTCTTGATTTGCCTTCTACTGTTCAGCTTGACCGTTTGTTGTCAAAACCCTACGACGTCTACGATTACGACACCAGCACGTGCGGCCGAAATTCGAGTAAAGTACTCTAGCGGAGCAATAGTCCGCGATATGGACCACATTCGGCAGGATCTGCATCAGGTGAGCCTTGTTTGTAAAATAATTACACTCTAGGGATGTCCTGTACTGCCTGCGCCTCTTCCAAAGATCTCTTGCACAGTTTTTCACAACAGCGATCAGGGCTTTTTTTTTTTCCTAATATGTTGTAACAGTCACATGATATTGATGATGTGCCTATGCTCCCATGTCGCCATTTCAGGTGATCCAGCTGTCAGGTGACGGGACCTTCACCATTGAGGAGTCAATTTTCTATCTAATGCGAATGCACGACTTTGATGATAACAATCAATTGGACGGGTTAGAGATGATGCGAGCTTTCACTCATGCGCACGAAGGTCATAAACAAGGCGAAAATGAAGACAACCCTCATCCATTATTAGAGACGCTTGTACAACTTGTAGACGATACAATGAGACACGATTCGAACATGGATGGCCATCTAAGCTTTGCCGAATGGTTACAGGGATACAAATCAGGAGGGTCAGCGTAGTGGTTAACGTTAGGCCTGTTTGTAAATGATGTAGGTAGGTGCAAATAACGGATTTTACTTTACTTAACGTAGTTTTAACTTAACAGTACTACCCGTTCTAAACTCTTTTTTCGTTTATAAGAATTTTGATAGTTGGATTTCAATATCCCCCACCGAACTCCTTGTAAATAACGACGCTTCGGAACAACCTTTAGTTATGCAAGTAATCGCTCTAAGCTGTTACAGTATTAGTAGGACACTGCTGAACTACTCAACATGACAACAATGCCACTAATATCGAATGGCAAACGAATTCGAAGGCATTACAATACAGAAGCTATTCGAAGAATGCGTATACTGATATTATGCGTGAATTGTGTGTATACAAGTATAAATAAAGGAACTTTAATTATCTGGGGTACAAACTAATCGACATATCTGTCAGTAGTTTAGGCACCAAAATTCTCATATGTGTGGTATCATAGATCTGCAGATGGCCTATAAAACAGTGGAAGAACGTGATGTAAGACCATCAAACGTATCCCCATATTTACTATCATCACTGTCTAATTTGCAAATTGCTCCCACACGTGCAGTTAGAACACAGTTCTAGTGGCGACGGTTACTATATCGGTTAAAACCGAATAAAAATATTTGCAAGAGCAACAAAACTGCAGAGTACAAATTGTTCAGTCGTTGAGTAAGTTATTGTGGTGGCCAGAGGCGTTTTCACATCTTCAGCTAGCCATTATTCTTTTTCCATTTTTCGAAGTCCTTTTCTGACTCGGACATTATCAGGATGGATGCTTGTAAGCTTTTGTTATGTGAGTGCCGTAGAGACCTAGGTTAAGAAAGAAACACACAAATAACTCCCCGAAAAGCCTGGCGAAACGTCAAGAACTAATGGAATTAGCTAGTACCGAAAGTGGCTTGTTTTATTGACCAGCAATGTTGTGTAAGTTACCGCCGTTCCCAAAACGAAATCGTCTGAATCCTGAGAAAATGAACAAAGCGTTTTATTGGTTTTAATGATTCTTCGTAGCAAGAACGAGTCGCCATCATCTTTTGAGAGACCGTGTGCTAACAGCTAATTTCATTGAGCTGTGTTCCAGAGTTAAACCGTTTTTTTTCGCTTTTCTAGTGACTGTGAACAGTCTAAACGGAGCTGGTCCGTTTGTTTATAAGCAAAACAATATGCTATAAATGGCATATTCGGAAATGAATAACAAGAAACATACCCATTTTTCTGAACTTTTGGATCTCTAATACGGTTAGAAATGCGGTACTTTTAGTGCATTTAAAACAGAAAAGCCCATATTTGGGTTTTTAGTTCCACTGAGGTACAAAAACAACAATACCAGTAGCAGGAAAGCGAAAGGTTGTCCTTTAATGGTAGTTGGATACTTGAAAAAAAAACCGTATTTGCGCGCCGTCATTTAGAATGTGGCTCTGCATTTCTCAATACCGATAAATTTTTGTCAGAACTGTAGTCTATTCACACACCAGCCTGATGATATGTCGTAGAGTGAATTATTTCGTGCAACGTCTCGTAGGAATGCCTTTAAGTTGATGTCAGAAATAAGACAGCGAAAGAGTTGTAGCTTTTGAGTTGCTTTGTGTGCGTTAGTTCCCAATAGTATAGACATTATATTTGCCGAGTCACTGGATATTATAAGATTGGCTTAATCACAGATAAGACAAACATTACACCGCAAACCGCGACATTTAACAGCATACTCTGTGCGTTCACAAATGTGCATACCCGAAAATGATAGTCAAGTTTGACTGTGGCTTCTTTGCAAAGAAACTCTCCGTATACGTTAACTCGTGTGGTTTTGATATCAAGAAGACATCTTGATTTATATCTGCTACGTGTAAAAGTAGTATTTCATAATGAATGATTTCTATTTACCGCTTTTCTAAATGCAAAAACTGTATGTTAGGTCATTTTTTTTTCGCGGTTTTTTTTCCAGCAATGGACAACACGGCATTGTTTATTCCTGTGACAATAAGTTATTACGTTGTGTATCTTGTGCTATTATCCACAATTTTTCCCTATTTTTTCATCAAATAATGTAAGACATTTTGTGAGAAGGTAGTAGATTTCGTCTTGAAACGTTTTTCAATTACATTTTGCGTTGCTCACCCGTGTAAAAAGTAAGGCCACAATGATGATTGTTCAATGAACGGAAAAAATTAAATTCAGTGGTATAAAGTGCGGAAAATACGGAGAGTGCGACAGAAGCTCCTAGTTGAAGACTAAAGGGGCAGCTTCGACGATATTTACTGTGTGCGTTTCACTTTTTCAGGAAAAAGGATAATCTAACCCCGTCTGCTTTTGTTTCCTTGAATAACCTTGTTAACTCGACGCAATCGGGCCGATTAACAGTTTGGTTCGTAGGACGCGATTCACGATATATCGGGTATTTGCAGTTCCACCAAAAGCAAAACATGATCCATTCTAGATAAATATCTGGTTAAAGTCAAAGCTTTGGCTCTTTGTTTGGGTTTCTGAAATACCGAGGCTTCAATTTTCGCCGTAAAACCAAGGGACTTGAGGTGGTCAACGACGGTCTTGTAGCAGCAGCCCATCTTTTAAACTCCCAAATTGTTTTTCAGCAGTCTTTCTTTAAAAGTGCTTTCGGATGGTCGTTACAAAACTTTCTAACATTTCAAAACTTTTCTTTAATCCTTTCAGTTACTACGCCATTATCGTGTACAAGAAAAATTTCGCGATCTGTTTTGACAGCGTTTATGCCGCGCGAAAGTCATAGTACAGAACATGTCGAAAATTTGATTACTTTTTTCCACAAAAACATTCATCTTTAAAAAGTTCTGCCAAGTTAAAATCGTACTTATATTACGCAGTGGGAGCAGCGCTTTGAACCGGTAGATTGAATGCAATAACAAGAGAGGAAAAGTGGAAAAAAAAAGCCTTTGAAAAAACGCACCACTTACTCAACCTAATGCTATAGTACGTATGCTTTGGTCCATTATGAGGATAGGAGAAATCGCACTTTCACTGTTTCAAACAGAGTACAGGAAAATTCTTACATACCGGATATTCGACATTTTCTCAGCATTTTGATAGCCAACGTTTGGTGAGTGCAATACAGTGCACAAACATTTTGATAAATTAAGATATGCAAGAAAGATTACTTGATAACATTTTTGATAAGAAGATTTGCTCGGCCATATGTACTGGGGATAACGGCTCTTGGTTTTTATTCTTATCTTGGTTAAGGATCCTTGATTTTTAATCACCTTTAGGTCTGTAACCTCGATTTTTCTCCAAATTCTGATAGTTATAGACGAAGGCATATATAGTAAAACACGTATGCGAGAAGTGAATTTGCAAAGCCAAGATATATTTGATATAGGTGTGCTCTGTAAAGCCATCGATTTACCTATAATAGGACCAAGCAACCATGTCTCTATAAAAACGACGGACACGATAGAGAAGAACCAATAATAAACGAGTGATAAATAAACAAGACGTATCGCGACTTTTTACAATGTTCACGAGTAAAGGTCTTTCACAGACAGCAAGCTGTACTTTCAAGATGTTTCGTTTCAAGTGCGTGCTTGTTATCATACTACTTCAATAGAACACAGTATAAATGTGAAATTTCAGAAGCACTCTATGAGCGTACCAAGTTACTTTTATAGTATTTACCTGAACCATAAACTTTGTCGGGATTGGGTTTTGAAGAGGCTACATGATTTTCCAAGCATAAGATGCTGGCAATAATCAAATATTATATATATACAATATTCCGCACGTATCGCTTGTGTAATTTTTCATTTATTGATGGTTAAATGTTGTGCACTGAGTTTAGATTCCAAAAATAAGTGTGTCGTCACCAGCACTTCTTGTTGGTCTTACAGCAAGGTTAGAAAAAGCTGCCGAAATAACCATATATAGATGAGACGTGTACGACGAATATCCAATAATTTAGAATACTATTCAGATATAGGTATTTTTCAGGGTTCAGGCGTAAGATTTTAGATTATAAAATGTTGTGACTCCGAAAAAATGATCAGCCAACGTAAAGCATAAAGAAATGCACATTAGCAAACAAAAGATCATAAAAGCGAAGATTAAATAAAGGTGCCATTACTTTTCGAAGAAATCGAAGTTAATTCAACGACTTTGAATAATTACTATACAATATTAGAAACAGACTAGAAGCAAATTTTGAAAAACGACTGAGATTATTTTTAAAAAAAGCTGAAAGCACATACAGCTACAGTTAACAGAGGGTGTGAATATATGTTACAACTTATCTTTTGACTTCTGTTTTGAATTCCCTGTTAGTTATTATTTTTTTACTTCCTAAAGTTTTTATCAGCCGTCATAATAAAATAAGATGCTTTTGAACAGTATTTAACGCTTGGCTGCTTATTGAATCAGAAGTCTAATATATACAACAAAGGACCAATAACTGATTCGTTTGTTTATTTAGTGCATTAAACCTACAAATGCATAGCTTTTAAGGAACATACGTTTTGGGATCTGAACAAAGCTCTTCCGACTTTTCTAAATTTAGTTGTCCTTGCAACCATTGAGGCAAACACCAAATCTAAAAAGCTATTTAGTAATTCAATAAAAAAAAAAACAATTGTAGTTAGTTATAAGTTAGATATGTATGTTGTCTTATATAATATTCATTTAGTTTAATTTGTATTCCTTATGGACGTTTCATAGGACGATGCGCAACCAATGCTGGCCGAACTGCGTAATAACTAACAAACCCAAAGGCCAATCTGAACTACGAACCCAAAGGTAAAAGTGACATCTTTGTAGACTTCTGCGTCGTAAGCTCACGCACACGACCCTTTTTGCCGCCCGCATTGAACACAGAAAATGACCGCTCAGTTGTACTAGTTAGTTACGATAATAATAGTCGAGATAATATTCAGTGAGTCACAGAGCTTTAGGTGTAAAAATATTTTAGTCGCCCCTAATGAATACAGCGAATCATCTTGCAACCAACAAAAGTGAATATCATGCGTTATTTGACGCTTTTGCTATTATTTGTCACCCTAAACAATGCCAAATGCGCACTTCCGAAAACGGCAATCTATTATCAAGCGTCTTTCTAATATGCTACAGCATGCCACCGGTGTATAGTCTATGAACCCCCAACAAGGTATGATCGAACGCTGCCTCAACAACCTCACAACTGCATGAATTTACCGAGTACAAAAAATTGAAATAAGAGATTCGAGCGAGGAAGGTGTCGCCTACACACATTCATTTCTTTTAACGTTTTACGACAAGAAGCTGTAAAATAATTGAAATCGATAAATAGAGCCATAAAAATATCTATTAAATAAAAAAAATCTATAAACAGAACTTAATATGTTACAGCTGGGTGGCGCCAATACAATTCGTATTTTTTATGAATAGAATGCGTTCACTGTCTGCGCAGTCGTTTTTGGTTCGATTACTTCTTGTTGTAACTCTATCCCTTCAGAGGAAACTATTCTAGTTAATTATTATTAATGATCGCGACCTCATTATTTTGTTACATTATTCGTTACTTTACAGCAAATATCCTGTTTTTCCTTACCAAGTCTTCAGTCCGCTCATTGCAATTAACTTTGTATACTTCTATCGTCAAGTTGTTATTCTATCGCTCGTGACAAAAAGTTTACATCTTTTAAACATTTTTTTACTATTTCTACGAAAATCACGATATTCTTTAAGCTACAAAAATAAAGTAATACTTACATTCATCACAAATTTTCAATGAGTACCTCGAAATCTTCTTGACGAGCCCGTTATCCTAGCGCACATGTGATCAACGGGCAATTTCTACATCGCCATTTTACATGAACCCGTACTCAAGCAATCTTTTTGAAATTTAAGCATACAAAACACTCGTCCGAAGAAATGTAGGCCAAAATTATGATTTGCCAGATATGGGAATGACCTTAGTTAGTTATTGTATAGGATTAAAGGTATAACTTTACTGCATAGCAGTGTGTTATTAAAGGCATCTCTTATAAAACAGTGGTAGGATAGCTGCCACTTACATGAATGTAGGACTTTGAACCAAGTACAAGGTTCTAATGAGTAACGTCATAAACCACAGTTAGAATCATTATCTGACTCACTCGAATCACCGACACAGTGGGGGTGCAATAGCCATGCAGGGTATACGTATCCGAAAATGCAGATAGTGTCACTTCTGCCATAGAGAGGGCTGCAGAACTGTATGCCCTTCAACAAATTATAAGTAAAATACTAAAAGCTATCTTATCCGACGCTCATTCGATACAACAATGACATTGCTGCTACGGTAAATTTATTATATTTGTGTATGCGTACAGTCACGTCACACTTTTTTACGGTCACTGATTTAAAGCAAAGCTTTCATAAAAAGGTACACTAGACGAAATTTGTTCGCTTTACGATAGGATGCGTTAGCCAAGTCCCGCTGTAAATTTCTTGATAAAAACGCCTCGACACCGTGTAAATCACTTTAAGCTACAGTTAACCGAGGAAAAAACTACAGCAATGCTACTGTCTGCATATGCAAATCTATATATTGGCATTAAACTGCCCTTATTTTCGAAGGGTTGCTCTTGCATTTCTTCATACATTCACGCCTTTGCAGACTTTATTAGCTTTTAAACTAGATAGGAAAAAAATGTTTCATAGCGCAATTTACAGTTATGTATTTCTCTTCTAAAACAATTCAACCCTACGATCTGTGGGCTTCTTAGTAGCTGAATATTTACACAGTTTACTCGCTCATTAAATTGTTCTTTTGTCACTCTCAGATCAAGCGAACCAGATATACGGATTAAAGTTAATAATATTCTGGCTCTTTTTTACCATTTTGAAGCTTGCACTGCTAACCGATAGCTAGAATGTCACTTTCTGCTTTGGTCATTTAACCTGCTATTGTGCTTAAATATATTGATGTAGGTACACCTAATACTTTTTCCAACCAGAGTTTAGTTCTCTCAGTTGTTGAATTTGGAAAAACAAAGGTTTTATAATCATCAGCTTATCTTTGGTTAAGTTCTACGAGTTTGTGAAAATGAATAAATTATACCATGTGAAGATGTAATAGTAGTAGTACAGGAAATGTAATAATAATCATAATAAATGAGAACAGAAAAGTCTCTCTACTAGCATTTGAAGGCGCGACGTAAACAGAAATAAAGTTAGAGACTTCTTTGCAGGAAACATCTTGAAACTTTCCAGCATAATACTTTTACAATAATTACTATGACATCCCCAAAGACACATCAAGTTTATTCGTATTGTCGTATATATATTTTTTTTTCGTTCAGACGCGCAAATGATAACATTCCAAAGAGTGCTCTAAGTATAAAACGCGCTTCTTTCCTAAAACACAAATGCTAAAGCTATCTAAAAATCACAGTTCCGATCCGCTCATACTATATTATCCCCAATGGCTGGTCCTATGCAAACCAAAAATACTGTGATATTAAGGAATCGCACTTTAGACACAGGTGCTGTTCTTGGCTCACGCTACACAAGTTAAGATTATTTTAAACTGTGTCTTCATCCCCGGCGATACTAACTGTGTCAGTGGTCGCGTGGCCTTCACGCGTTTATTATCACTGCTTTGCCATCGGTTGATAGCCATTAACGAATGAAAATGATGTGTAAATTACAAGCTCTACAGAATGAAGTGATTAAGTAGAATGTACAAACTTGCTTTGCAACCATTAGAGATTTTCCTTTAGAAAACGGGAATATATTGTACATTAGCATAATCTAAAAAAAAGCGTATATTGCGTATTAAGCATTTTCAATTATTAGATCTATGTAAACTCGAGATATAAAATTACTAAATGTTCCACGACGGTGCTTTTATAACTGACTACAGTAAACAACCTTTACAAGGCATCACACGCGCCCCAAAGGTTAAACAAATTTTGAATGATTAAAGCCTTCAACTTAATCGTTAGGCGAATTCTCCTGCAAGAAAAAGACTACGGCGGGAATTGCACTAATTTCAAGACAATATATAAGAAACTCTATATATAGAAAGAAAATATATAAGAAAGTTCCAACTCAGCACACAGCATACGAATTATATGTCAATACCGTGCCCTAAATCAACGAGCAACGGCACCTCTAGTTAGATTTAAAAAGACAATGGTAATCTTGGAGATCTCATCTGGTCATGTATATCCAAATTGGAGAACAGCATCTAAAAATCAACAGAACTTCGCTGGGGAGGGGAAGCTGATTACAATAAAACGTTATTGAAGTATCTATTAATAATGATCCAGACAAAACCGGTGCTTGCTAAAAACGCTTTCTCACTGTACGTTGCTACTTAGTAGGAAGTTTACAGTATGTATAGAATTGTATAATTACTTACTCTTTACCCTTACCGCTTTCCATGGATATATATATATCCACACATATAATGCAAACAGGCCAAACATTTGTCACTCCGAAGCTACCTTTCCAGCTGATACTAATAAAATGAATCTTCATGACACTCTTTTGGAAAACTAGATTAGCGCGTAAAATTACGAATGGTGTTTCAGTTAAATAAACTCTTTCGTGACCAGAATTTCATACCATAAGATGGACCATCGAGCCTGCGTACCGTCAACAAGATATTTGTCTTTGTAGCAAGATATTTGTCTGTAACTTTATTGTCCCATGTAGTGCTTCTGCTATATACGTGTAGTCCTGTATATAGCAGATTTAAACACGCATAACAACTGACGGTAGCACAGACGTACTGCATTTTAGCTCCTAAAATCCCGAATCGTATTTAGAACAGTACGCAAAGATTCTAACATAAGACTCAACCTCCATCGTTTTCCTGAAAAAATTCGGGGTAAATATCATATGATACTTCCAAACCACTACTCATAACAAAGTGTGTAATTACACCAGACACACACAAACAGTTTTCGAGAGGCTAAGGAATTGAGCATAATGCTTCATTAATATTTTCCTTATGCCGAATAGAAATATTTTGCCTATGTTCATTTAAAGAAATAGGTTTACAGTGAATTCGGTATAGATATATATGTATATACCGAACGCAATCGGGATTGGAGTCTTAAATCAAACATTCATGTACACTAATTTCAAGCTGCTTTCTTCACCAATCAATATCAGCAAGGAAAATATTCCAACAGCTAAAGTAGGATTATCCTATTCTTACAGATTTAGAGCGCTATAGGATAGACTTCAGCTTGTATTCAACCAGCAAGTATCATAAGTAGGAAGTTTAACAGCTGTACTCCGCGTAATCTCGTAGATCATCGTCATGAATCGAAGTTGTCAACTGATTACATTAAGTTGTTTATTTCAACTTATCTATTAGAAACTTATCCGTATAACATACTAGGCTAATAAGATAATATATGTATAACGCAATTTGGATATAAGGGGCAGCTACAACTATGAATACATTTGGTTTTGTCTTGACTTCATGTATACGTTACATTCAAATCTTTCTCCAGGAATTCAATTGGGTGGTACACTTCTTACGAAGCTTGGACTTCATTTATGTATCATGCGTACAAGACATGGGTTGTCTCATTATTTAACCTTATTCCTGATCCTAGTAAATCCCGCTGGGAAAATGCGATACTTTATAAAAGTAAATGCTACTTGTTCCTTAATCCCTCTTAAAATTGATGTATAGCATTACTACGCCGATTAAACACCAATCGAATGTTGCAGTGGTTTACTGGTTTACTCTTAGCTGGTCTCTACTTTTTCAGTGAATTGTTGAACGGTAAAATGACAATATTCACAGAAAATGAAGGAAAGCACTATGCACTCTAGGAAGGGGTGAACGAAGTCCTTGCGAGTGTTACTTGTTTTCCTAAATTTATACAAGCGTTTTCTTCGGCCAAATCCACATAACATCTTGTGGATACTCACAAACCTTTTTCTGGCTTACGACAGCAACAGGAGCGAAACAATTGCATGCCTGAGAAGATTGCTTTAATGCGGTTCACTTTGCTAAATAGCAGAGCTTCACAAGCTGATGATGTCACCACAATGTGACTGTTGATCACAATTTATATCACGTTCACCACTGTCACCGATAATTAACTAGGCTAAGTACTAATTAGGCAAGGAATTGGTCAGTTTATTACTAGACTCCATTCCTACCTTGTGATAGAGGAGCATTGCAATTGCATAATCGGACGTAAGGGATGACTTTTCCGATGAAAAAAGAGTAACCAAATAGTGTCTCGCCAACTAGAATACAAGAGATCTATCTTATTGAAAAAAAGAGGCGGTCACCGTTGCCGTAATTTCTGCCAGTACTTGAATCGTCATGTCCGATCAGCTTTGCCGCATTAGAATAGGGCGCCCGGCGAAAGTGACTCATTTAGTGTCTCTTTCTTGTTGCTGGAAGTGTTGGGGAGGAGGGAAAATAGAAGCCTTATGCAGTTGATAAGCTATGACAAAAGTTTAAAAAGTAAACTAATACCGCATGGAATACGTCATAATCTTACTAAACTTGTTCTAAGTTACTTACCATCTGAGGAAGGATTTGTAATAGTTGCCATGGGTAATTGAGGCAAATAGTTGAATAGATGGAGAAAAAATCAAGTTCAGTGACCCAATAATATTACTACACAACTTGTTTTTCAACAACCCCTCAGAAACCACAACAAATGGATCAATATCAACAACACCGAACTAACTAAGGCGCCGCCGCGGCCACTCTAACTAAACTATCGATATCGCTGGGTCTCTCTCACTGAAGAAAGGTCCGATTTGTTTAGTTCGGCTGCTACCAAAAATATAGCTTCTAGCTTCGCTCGCCAGCATCTACCTAGCCTTTCTTGCAACAGCTCTAAACGACACTCACAATGCATTCCGCGATATCAGAACAGCTGGGTCTCCCGCGATCTCAGCTAACGAGCGGAACCCAGCTCATAGAAAGGCAAACAGAAAATATGACTGTGTCAGGAAGAGAGGCTACATGTGTACAACTAACCAGGTATCGTTTGCGCGTAGCTTGATTCAATGTTCGCCAGAGGGCGCTCTTTAAGTTCCGTTAAGTAAGAGTTTCACGTAATCTGCACAAAACTGAAAGCTAGAGTTTATATGAGGTCTGTAGTAGCAAAGGCCGTTATCTCATAATGGCCATCCTAATGTTCTAAATAACCTGTGTAAATATTCCGTAAACATCTAATCGCTACACATTTCTTTAAAAGAGCGGAATCCGCGTAAACTTAGTGCTAAACGTTGGACTACGCTGTTATTTAACATCTGCTCTCACCTTGGTAGTCCATGGGCACAGAAATGGCACATCGGGCATTAAAATTACTGTCTGGTAAGTTGGTTTCGTTCTGTGTCTTCATCGTCGGAGTTTATAACTACTGCGGATTATATATGAATGTAGGCAAGCATATGTTATCCATTATGCTGATGAAATACGCTGCCTGTTCAATATATATTATCAATAGTTCCCCTATGTCATCTCTATTCCGTTAACATAGCACAGTCCAACCTAGACTAATAATAGTTTCGATATATATGCGAGCAAAAAAATTAAATGATCCCCTTTTACATTGCATCATTTAAGCAATGAACATTGATATCTAAGAATGCGGCCAAGTTATATACCAATGGATTCTCGAAGGTCATTATCCCGTGATAAATTTCTCTTCATAGTTAAGATTTAATTAAGAGGCAGACAACGCATCTAAATTAGAGTAACATGAAATTGCTTCTGTGTACCAAATAAAAGTATATTTGCTATTATTCAAGAGTGATCTAGGCGCGTATATAAAGATGGCAATTAGAATGAATGGTCAGTCATTATGTATCAAGAATACTTGATGCAGGACTTGATGCAATAATTTGAGTTAGGGATATTTTTGGACTGACCTCTTACCCGCCGGTAACACCATTTTCTCAGCTTCTTTAGTCGAGTCATTATTGTCACTTATAATTATTGCTTTTCTTTTTAATCTGTGTGTCGATAAACCAGGCTTCCAGGCGTACACTGGTGCTGCGCAGACGCGCTGTTTGGCGTTTCTGAAGCAGACGAATCCGCCAGACATACAGACGCACACGGGTCAGAAGTACGACGAAAATGATTTCAGAAATTGCAGGTTAGTGGACATCAGTTGATCTTGTACGAAAAAGCACATTTAGTACGTATGTGATCAATAAAACTTAACCCATCATGAACACGTACAAGCAGATATTCCTTTATCGATGGTCGTTGAGCTACGTCACATTCAGTCTGCACACGTATGTTTTCACAACCGAATGAACGCGAGCACATAGGGTAATTTCTAAGAATCGCGTTACATCAGGCCATCCGCAAAAATGTTCATTCCACAATAGACGTTCATGACATATTTTGCCCGACACTTACACATTTTTCGAAACACGTTAGTCGAAACACATTAGAACACATTTTAGTTATGCAAAAACATCCAACAATGGAACCATTGCGTGATATAAAGATTGAAAGACAATATAAGACCCGTCAAAGGATGCAACTTTTATTATGGGACAATAAGTGGCGATGGACGTGTTGATTTCTCACCTAAAGCGGTCGGTGCTTGGTGTAATGACAGTATAGCAGCCTTTTGTAATGATTGGAACAACTTTTCGTTCAAGCTTACTACTCAGTACCTCAACGGCATAGTCTTCGCTATCGTCGACTCTGGTTTCATTTGAGTTAACAGACAAATAGACTAACACACACCCACTCACCCACTTGCGAGCCTAACAGTGAGAGCGTCCGGGATTAGTTTGTAGTGCGGTCAGTTTTGGCGGTCAATGAGATGTTTCGGGTTAGTGGCTAGTTAATTTTCGCAATATGATTTCATAAAGCGTCTCGCTTTACACTGGAGGCTGGCTGATACGATTGACGGGGGTAGCAGGTATTGGTGTTGACCCCTAGATTAAGTAGGGCTGTGTAGTGTGCCATTCGGCAGTCAAGGATCAGAGCTAACCGTACGTTACACTCTTGTTTATTTTCCAATTATATGTTTAGGTCGAGAGGGTCTGAGAGGTTTAGTGAGAAAGTCTAATGTGATTACATGTATAGTAGAAACTTTCAACTCAGTAGGTATTAAAGGCACTAGATGATGTCATTCGGTCATAATGACTTTCGTCAAAGTAAACTTGAAAAATATGAGTGTTGGTAATGATATCCTCCGGAGGATAATTCATTAAAGATGAATTCCTGTAGGAGCGTTTATCAAAAGATGCGTTTTCCGCTATTTCAGCGGCGTCAGACTAATTAGTTTTTTGGTCGATTTAACTGATTTAATCCTTTATTTGATAAAATTTAATCCGCGTTACACTTAATCTAACATGAAATGTAGTTCGATTACGAACCCTGTTGGTGCAAACTCTCCTATCCTGCAGCACGAACTCCATTATCTTCCTACGCTGATTTTACTTCCTAGATTCAGTCAATTTATTAGCCACAATTAAGCAATCGCAGTTACCCTTCTGCACGAAAGTCGTTCATCCATTGTTTCAATAACGTTCCTGCCATGCTGCAGTTATCTTTTCAACCTGTTCTAATACTTGATTCGTGTTACCCTAAACCATTTTACATCTATTTTTGTTTATCGAGGTCTGGTTGCAGTCCTCCGGCATCTCTGTTGTACTAATCCTATCACTCCGTTATAACTATATGGTTACAGTAGTCATTTTCCTGATTTAGTTTACTTCTTACTTTGCATCAATGGTTTCGTTACCTTGGTATAATTATTCTGATAGCTATTAAAGTGAACGCAATTTCGTTACTATGCTACACTTAATCGGCTGCCGTACTCTACTATTTGAGATTTGTTTACAAAAAAAATTTGAAAACTGTTTACAAAATTTCCAGTATAAACCCAAGTAACCTTCAATTTATCTGTAGATTTAAGCAGACCTCTGGCCCTACATGAACACTCGTCGAAAACATTATTCCACCTAGACCCCGTATTTTTCTAAAATTATTCTGTTCTCCTGTTAGAACGCCGTGGCAATTTCGGTATTAAGATATATTTGTCGCGTTTCCCCATGTAAATTAACCTAGAAGGATGTGTGTATTCGGCCAATCGAAGAATATGAACAACAGGCCAAAATGGTTCATATTCGTTATATTTAAAAAATTAAACAAATTCGCGTCACGAACCTTTATAAAAGCATTTTTTTAGAAAAAGTATCCAAGTTTAAATTAAAGTATGAAATGAACAATACCGAAAATGTAGTTCATTTATTATAAATTGCGTGTAGTTCAGAAAAAAAAAATCATCGTTGTACATTTCGGTAGTAGAAGTGAATGAAATTGAAAATCCAACATTGCGCCATTTTTATAGACCTTGAGAAAGAATATCATTTTTAATATAGAATTCATATATAGACAAATTATCAACCCTTGTCACGCAAATCGCAAAATGCAAATTCGCATTACACTCTATGGTTTTCCTCGGAAAAAATATTTACTCAATGGGAATGAACTGTATGCCGGGATAATTCGTATTTCATCGACCTTTTTGCAAATGAACCAAATAAAGATAATGTTTTCTCGTAAAAAAGATACTAGCCTTATAAAAAAAATAGTCGCACACTTAGAAAATATGAACTGAGACGGGTCATATTGTATCAACAATGAAACATTTAGACAAAAAGCACCATATCACTAACTAATCGCAATTAATTTAATGCATTGTTGAGCCTATTTTATTTAGTCTTATTATTTAGTAAACAACTTCTTCTCTCAACGGTTATTACAGCGCACAACGAGTTTGCTCAGACATAAATTCAGTCCGTGACACTTTATGAGAAAAGGAAACTCATGTAGGGGAAAGTGTTAATCCAATTGGCCCCTTCTTACGCACTAAGACTCAAGCGATCCATAATAGGTCTGCTCAAACCGACCACTCCACATTTGACTCAGATAGACTGACAATGACGCGCACACAAACAAGGATACAATTTTAGTAGCACACAAAATAACAAGATAAAGCCCTGACAAATCCATAATACTATCCTTTCAGAGAACTGTGTCTACGTGCTTGACCTAATAACCTGGGAAATATGTTTGTACGTTCTAAAAAATACGCTATTTCCGCAAAGGAAATTGTGTAAAAAATTAATGAAACGAGAGATAGCTCACGATTGTAAGGTTGAAAACACGGTGAATGGGGCAGAACATTTAGCAATTAAATGCATATAACCACTATCTGAATTTATCATTATTTTTACGATGAAATATGGAGTTTCTCCCACATAGCTATGACTATTTTTGCGACTTGTAATCAACACAAATAGAAACATAGTTAATAAAACGTCTATAATTCGCACCAACGAGCCATCCTACTAGAAAAATGGAATGTACGAGCTGTTCATGTTCTCGTCTATTGTCGAGTTATGTGTCTACATTGGTAAGCAGTTCTGAGCAACGTACAACCATTGTGACTAATTCAAGTTTTTGTGCCTCTTCATTATTTACCGCATCAAGCTTTAAAGATCTACCTAAAGAAATCCAACAACAAGCAGAGACAAGTTTATCCACTGTGTAAACAGAAAGCCGTATAAAAAAGCCAAATCTCAGAACTTTTACTTACTTTCAGTTTTTACATTCGTTACTTCATCGCTTTATCGGTTCTTTCGTACTTAAGCTCTTCAGCATTGTTTAGGCGTCACAAGAAAGCCTTGTCTTGGTTCTCTGTCCTGTCATGGCTAAATTGCGTCGGTTTTCACAGAATTGAGTACTACTAACTAGTAAGAGTACGCGCTAATAAATCAGGTTTTCCATCACTCACCACATTCACTTACCTCAATTCAATTAAACGTGTCACCGTTTACTTTGTGCACTTTTCAATTTACTTTTCAATTTCAATTTAGTTTGTGCTGATCTTTATACCTTTATCTAGACACGTATTGCGAACTATTCTATAAAAGCCAGTTCTTATTAGTAATCACTTAAATACACTAAATAATATTTAGTGTCGTTTGGCAAACATTTTTCATAATATTTATACCATTCTCTACTACGGAAGAAGTACCTCAGCTGTACTGAGTTCGTACGATGTATAACTTTAGGAAGACAAACTGCTTATTCGCACGCTGCGCTTTTTTAGTCCCGTGAGTAACAGATATAATAGCTTATCGTTTGTTTCCTTGTTGCTATATACTAAGGTTTGTGGATAAATCGAAGCTTGTGAACAAGCATCATGCTATTAAATTGATTGCGGAAGTCCCGGCTGTCGGTATCGAAGCTCGCTCGGTATATTGTAGTGGCGGTGACGCGGCCCTTGGTCACCCCAAGGTAAGCTTTTTGACCGAACAAGTGAACTGTAAAATATTAGCTAATTCCAAGAAGATGCGATACTTCGTAAATATCGCAATCATATCGATTAAATTTTACGTTTTTTTTAATTTTCACTCTAAGTAGGTTTTGCTTAGAACTTGTAAATCAAATAAAGCTAACTGGAAAACACAGTATTGTTTGCGTAAAGACTTAAAATATTTCCGTTAAAGGTGTACATCAACCTGGATCCGCCTGGAGAGCACACTTGCCTTTACTGTGGATTGCGGTATTTTCAAAAGTCCCCCAAACACCACCATTAAATATAGCGAATGAGAATCAATTAAATTTGCATAAGAATATTTAATAACCTGGAGATACTAAAAACGTATAGTCACAAAAGGCGATCAAGATAGCGTTTAAGCTTGAATGATAATGAAACCTTAGATACGTGAAAATAAAAGCTGTTGAAATTATTTTTATTCTTTTTCATTTTTGTTATCTCTCCCTCAATTTAGTATTTCATAAGTATAAAAAGCGTAAGTAACTTATGAGGTAAAAACTTAGTATTATTCCTCAAACATATAGTTTTATATACAACGAATCTTTGAGAATATTAAACTTAGCTGCTTTTTGTGAACAGTTACCTTCCGTTTATAGAGCTAATTTTGGAGTTTTTCTAACACTAGTTTTAATCACTTTAACCGATTAACACTGATTTTAATTTTCTGCCAAAGGTTAGGTATGAATTCAGAGTTTTGTAATGGAAATGGTATCGGAAAGTTTAACTACAACTCTTATCTTCGGGGGCTGGGAGGGCTTCTGTTAGACAGGTTGTTAGGAATTTCATGAATGCATTAATCCGAAACCAATAATACTCTAAAATGCTCGCTTCAAGGAATACTAAAAAAACTTGGAGCTATAGCGAATAACAATTCGTTATGATCGGAATTTTAGTGATTATTTAGTATCTTAATACTTAGCGAGCTCCCTCCAAAATTAAAAACGTCTTTTCTTTGTCCAAAACTTTATTGCCAGTTTCCATATGGCTTTCCAGAAATTTGACGAAGATTTCCTTGAAGTAAACCGAACGATGCTTAATTAGGTTGGATCTAAAATGTTCATAAATATATCAAAATAAGGAAAAGTGCCACTTCTGATGATTTGGATTTTTCTTATACAGAAGCTAGCGACTCTTTTGTCAAAGGAGATGATCTGTCGCCAATTGGGTCGTCATTTACATTTATGAAATGCCGCTGTTGGATACCGTCGTTTCAAACCATGTTTTTATTGGAACTTTTAATAGCCTAAAATTTAACCTCGCTGATTTTTTTTGATGTGCCTTACCTGGGTATTACGTTAATTAGGTTTACACTTTGCAACATAACTTAGCGCACAGTTACTACTGAAAAATTATTTGCGAATTAAAGAATAAATAAGATGAAAACCATTAGTAAAATGTTTAGATCTCGAATAAAAGCTGTAAGCTTAAGCCTAGTAGTCTTAAAATGGACAACTTGTTACAAAGCTTCCATAATGCAGACTGGGACGTCTCAAACTGCGTTTTGAAACAGCAAGACTTTTACTTAAGCCTGCCGGCGTGCAAAATAAGACGGAGGCGCCCAGATAGACTTCAAGCAGGCTTATGCAAGCAGCTCTTCAACAAACCATAGCTTATATTTTTAAAGAATTGAACATGAGAAATCAAGAAAAGCTTTTTTTGAGATATGTCAGACATACGCGCCTTTGGATATAATTAACATTATCCCAACGCGAAGTAGTTATGCGGCACATGCATGTTCTTTTTACCTCCAGATATTAAATCGATCAAGACTTCCAAAAAGTCTTCGAGGTGTTAAAGGATATGGGACGTGCAACATAATCTTCGGGTTAATTTTTTGTAGATATGTTTTTATAATTACGTAAGTTATATTGTATGACTTTTGTGACGAACGTTTTTAATACCGACAGAAACCTGTAAAATAATAACACAATAGTTATAACTCATAAGAACAGTAAGAGAGGTGGTTGGTGAGAGCTACTGTATACGGTAAGTCGTTCAATGCGCGCATGCATTAAAAATAGCAGTTAAGCGCCTCACTGGTTTTTGTCCAGCGACAATATACATAAAACAACGTATTACCGTTAACATTACCGTAAATAAAATCAATCTATGCTCAGTCAACAACGGCGTAGCACAATTTGTGAGTTTTCCTTCATAGCTAACTACAAAATCACTCTAGGAAAGTACTGCTTGCATAGGAAGAAAACTATACGAACTTACGGCAACTAAGTTTTCCCACACAGGGAAAACCTCCTGAAGTCACTTTTCTATTAAACATTCTTCTATATTACACCCCTGTACATTAAACAAATAATATCGCTACAGGGAAATTGTCAAATCATGTTGACGACACACTATAAATATGATAACAATTTTGCAAAGAAAAAGAGCAATTCATGCATAAAAATCTGCTTGAAAGTATGGGAACTGCCTTCATTAAAACTTTACTTGTGTGACATTCCTCCGCTTTCCCATCTGAATGTTAGGGAAACTTGTGTCCTGCTTTAGTCGGATGCAGGAGCATCCATTTTCGTCCAGTCGTTACCAAGTCCTATTATTCAAATACTATTATAAGAAAATCTCCCTCTTTTTTTCGAATTCGTTTTTCTCCCAGTCATTTTCACTATATCCATTGCTTGGGCGCATATGACCTGGTGCTGGATTAAACTGGCGACAAGCTTTATCCTCATACTGACTGAAAGAGTCCAGTCCTCTGGGAGCGGCTCAAGGGCTGGGTAACAGAATCGAAAACACAATTATGATTCTGTATCACATGTCATGCATGTGATGACTTTTTCAACCTCTCTTATACAGTCGCGTGCCCAGTTAGGCTTATGTCAAGTCGTCGTTAGCCATGCCATGATTCCTGCTAAACCGGGCTAGAGATGAGACGACGAGCCCGTCCACCTGTAAAATTCTCCACTAAGGTCTCCAATCCTATCGGTGTTTGCTCATCCTTTCCTACTACTGCATCGTTTATTAGCTCAATTCTCCGTTTGATCAACTTTAACTACGGTGCCAGTCATGCTAAAGCAATTTCGACTCTTTTCGAACATTGGCTTTAGCAACCTTTATTGCTAGAAATATCCGCAAAGCGTTTTTCTTCCTACTTCTGTCTTACCGTCGGGTAGATTTTTGCTAGGCTATTTGCTACCTAATTCTATTATTTGTTGTCACATTATTATTCAGCTTCTTGCGTTTTGAGCCAGCTCGTCGATGTGGAGGCTTCTGGTGGAACCTCGATCCCCGGTAACGTTCAGGTACCTAACTGATTCTTCCATCTCTAACTCTACATTATTTACCTTTATGGGTTTTATACCCAATCAACACCCTCGCTTCAGTCCTTCGCGAGGTAAGTTGTAGCCCATGTGCCTCGATCAATTCGATCGCTTTTTTACAGCGCTCTGTGCTTTGCTTCAGAAACTACCTTTTTTTCACGCTATGACAATGATAGCTGTATTACCTGGGTTTGCTTTTATTTGCACTCGTAAGTTAAAAAGTTCCAGGATGATACTATTAACTATTTCACGGCGATGGGCGAAGTATCGATACCTGGAGACACGGCGAATTTTGTTTCCTCATAAAGGACGGACTTGTTGCTAAGGTACGAAACGATTCACACGCGTCTCACCCGCCAATTTAAAAAATTGGAAGCGTTGCGCACATTCTTTTAAATAATCACACGTAATTCCATTGACCATTAGTTATTATTTTGCTTTTTAGTTCTCTGCAAAACCTTACTATTTTTTTTTTTAGTTTTAGTAAACCAGCTTCTAAAAATACTGTACTGAGCATCCCACAGCGCATTTTATCGTTAATCTTCTATCTATAATACAATGGCCTCAAAAGCTTCTTTAATTTTATCTAGCAGGCAGGTTGGGCAATAATGTCCGGACTATACGACGAAAGTCTTCCTCGCTACCTAATGGGAGCCAAGAAAACTTTTTCCCACTACGGTGGAATTTCTTCCTGAACCTTTTTGTCCACCATGCCTTTAAAAACTTCTAGCTTTTCTTTAGAAAGGACCCGCCGCCTCGGCCGGCACTATAAACAGCCCGGCTGCCTTAGTTAAATGACTGGGAGATGAATCTTTTAATCACCGTTGGAATTTGTCTTTGAGATATCAGGATGACTTTTTAAGCTTACATGTTATTTATTAAACTAGTAGGGTGGGTTGGAAACAGTATGTTAATAGTGTACTTTTGTGATTCGTGCGTTCGCGTCGGCCGTGGCCTTCCCAGCTTACCCATGATTATCCTGTAGAGTCTTGGTTTAGTTTTTTTTTTATATCTTCCCTAAACGTTTTATCTTCTAGTTGGTGGGAGGCGTACCTTTGCCGTGCCTGCGCCTGCTCATAGCTTTGGTGTATTTTATCCATGCTTTATCCATGCGAAGCTTTCTACAAGATGTTTGCCGTCTACCAGTATTTGTCAGAAGGTCTGCTGAATGCTCTACACCTCTGTGCAGCCACAGTTGTACGTAGCTCCTTGTGTTAACTAGTCTCTGTATGAGGGCTTATTTTTGAAATTTTTTTTTTCACAAACGTTGTGAAAAATATCATTTATTTCGACGCCGTGCTTTAGACGGCTAAGCCTATTGTTGACTTCTGTGCTTAACCTTCTGTGCACGACCTGCGTGGATAGAGAAAGTTATTATTACGGGTTTGCAGCTATTGAAAATATTGGATACTAATGCAAAAATTAAGATGAAGTAATCCTAGATGAAGTAGAATAGGTGTTTTTCTAAAGTTAAACTGTTCGCTCTCTTCAGGCATTGCTTTTTATTTAAACTAAATTTTGTTTAGATGCTCACTAATTTTATTAATTTACGAACCTTATCATCATTAGAAAAAAATCGACCAATGTTGCTCGAATTAAGTTTTTTATTCTTTGGTGCGCCAATCCGCAATCCGTTCTCGTTTTGCTTTGTCAACAAACCTCTGGTTGCATTTAAGGCCCTACGCTCTGTATAAGTGACCTACTTAGAACCAGAAGTCACCCTTACTATTTTTAATAATTGTTCGATTTAGCAAGAAGAGCTAAAGTTATATTTGCATACTATAATATTTATTTTTGTTACATTTTTGTTGTTGGTCGATGTAGCTTAGAGTGTCTCTTGTTTTGTCTCTCAGCTTCAATGTTTTTGTTAGACGTGTATCTATGTAACTTTTGCTTGCACCCGTTCACATATATCTTTTTGTTACATGCATGTTTGTTTTTGTCAATGTTGACTTTTTTTTTTTTTTAGATCCTTCAGTTGATTGCCATATTATTGTTTTGCTACTTGTATTTTTCTTGTATGTCACTTGTATGAATAATTATAATTACTATTTGATTACTTTTGCTGCTGCTGCTTCATCATCAGACCAACATCATATTATTAACACACCACTGGTGTTATTATCAATATATA